GTAAGGTCACTAATTTCAAATAACACTTCTCGCTGATAAGCATCTGAGAAAAACATGCAACATGAGTCAGAGAAATGTTAATGGTCAGAAATAAAAAAAAAAGTAAATTACCAGGAAAACGTAATTTCCTCACAGAAATGCAGCCAAAGATGACATAATTTAGAAACATTGTCTTGGCATTTGGCTCTGTCATTCCTTCCATTTAAAAACAGGTAGACTAGACCTTGTGCTTTCTTTAGAGAAATGAATAGCATTAGGAAGTAATGACCTATTTTGAATTATCACACAAAGTAATCATCTTCATTATGACGTTTTCAAACATATTTATCATTCAACTTTGTTCTCCTTACCACCATCTGGTAGTCCTCTCTCCCTCCCCCAAATGACTCCCTTTCAGTCTCTTTATCATTTGAGACCTTTCTGCTACATGGTATATTCCTCTATTAGCACAGAATGTAAGTTTTTCCACATTTAGCTTTGGATACTTTTTTCCTATAAAAGAAAGATAAAAAATATTTTCTGTAGAGCCAGGCATGGTGGAGCACGCCTTTAATCCTAGCACTTGGGAGGCAGAGACAGGTGGATCTCTGTGAGACGGAGGCCAGCTTGATCTATGTAGTGATTTCTAGGCCAAATGGGGATACACAGAGACCCCGTCTCAAAAAACAACAAAACAAAAAAACTTCCCCAAACCAAACAAGCAAAAAATTTGTATAGCCACACAATGACGCAATCCATGTTTTATGTGATAAAGCGCTGGCTGTCACATCATGCTACAGGTTTTACAGTGCTATCAATAGAAAGAAGAAGGGGGTGTGGCTACTGCCTATTGATATTAAATGTACAAGAAAACAGTTAAAGAGGAGGCGTAAAATAAAAAGACTCAACTTACTAAGAAGATATAAGGCTAAACTTTAATTTTAGCTAATTAGAAATCAATAATAAAACCCAAATTAATAGCATCACAGTTAAAAATAGAAACTCCAAGCACAATAGCAGAAGATTATAATGCATTTCTTTCAGTAACTAATATACCAAAACACTGAGAGAGGTGATTTGTACAGCAATTAATGAGCTTATTCTAAGGAACATTATAGATTATATCTAGTTCCTGGATAATAGTGATTTTGAACTTGTGCAGCATATTTATAAAACTTGACTATGTGGAGATCATAAAACTATACCCAATACATTTCTGAAAATTCTAAGCATCCTGTATTTTAGGACTCAGATGGCACTAATTTGGAAATTAATAGCAAAGCCTAACTGGGAAATACACACTGAAATTTATGGGTTAAGAAAGTATGATACTAATTAAAAGTCATTGTGATAATGAAAAAATTGCATTTCAAGACAAGTTGAGGGCAGGAAAATGGTGTAGAAGAAAATAATTTATAACTGTTAAAATGCATTAGAAAATGAGTGTCCCATGAAACACAGTGGGATAAGAATGCACAGCAGCACAAAGCGCCATACCATACAGGAAAGAGAACTGAGCTGGAGAGATGGCTCAGCAGTTAAGAGCTCTTACTGCTCTCCTGGAGGGCCTGGGTTCAGTTCCCAGCACCTATGTGGAAGCCTAAAACCACCTGTAACTTCAGTTCCAGGGGCTTCTGATGCTCTCTTCTAGCCTCCATGGGCACCAGGTGCCCATAGTACACATACATACATCTAGGCAAACACACAAAAATTTAAAAAAGGAGACTAATCAAAATACATGCACAACAAAAACAAATCTGAAGATAAGCAATAAAAAAGAAGCACCAGAGTTTTTACTATTTTAAGAAAACTGATAAGACTGAGAAGCATCGGCAAGATTTGTTAAGAAAGAAAACAAATACGTAGTAATAATGATACTAAACAGTAAAGCAGAGACTGGAATATCACACTGAATATAAATAGGGACTCTGTACCTAATGTCAGTAAATTCAGAAATCTAGAAAATAAAAATAATTTCCTTGAAACACATAGTTTGCCAAAACTGACTCAGAAAGTAAACACAGTCTCATAACCATTCAATAAATAGAATCTATCTGTAAAACATGTTTCCACTGGAATAAGGTGATCTTATCAATACATTTAATCAAGTTTGAGACAGTAATTTCAATCTTTTAAAAATATTATCTTTATTTTATGTATTTTATTGTTATGTGTGTGAGTGTATTGCCTGCATGTATGTAAGTGCACCTGTGTCATGCACTACCTGTAGAAGTCAGAAGAGGGTGTTGGATTCCATGGAACTGGAGGTTTGGATGACACCCAGGAGGGTGCTGCGAACCAAACCTGGATCCTCTGCAGGAGCAGCCAGTGCTCTTAACCAATGAGCCATCCTTCCAGTCCCAAGTAAATTCAGTCTTACACAAACTCCTATCCCATGTCCTTTTATGGGGCTAACATAACCTTGAGAAAAAAAGGCAAGGATGTTTAGGTGGAGGCAGGATCAATTTCACTGATGATGACTGAAAAAATTTAAAACAAAATAGAATATTAACAAACAAAATCCAGCACTAAAATGCTAACAGGTTAAAAGGAAAAAGAAACATGGTCGGGGGCTGGAGAGATGGCTCAGTGGTTAAGAACACTGGCTGTTCTTGCAGAAGACTCAGGTTTGAATCCCAGCACCCACATGGCAGCTAACAACTGTCCGTAACGCCAGTTCCAGGGGATCTGACAGCCTCTTTTGTCCTCTGTGGGTATTGCATGAAGTGGGTGCACTTACCTATATGCAGGCAATACACGCATACACATAAAATAAAAAAAAAATAAAAAAGAAAACATTGAATACAATTCATCATCTGTTCCCAATTTAAAACAAAAACAAAGAATCTTTGCTAACTGGGAATAGAAGGGATCTTGTTTAACATTATAAGTACACTTACAAAAGAATGATAAAAAAATAGCGAACATCTTACTTTGAGGGGAGAAATGTATTGTGCTGGATAGCTTTAGTGTCAACTTGACACACCTGCATTGAGGGAGCCTCAGTTTGGGAATTTCCTCCATTGGACTGGCCTGTGGCCATGTCTGTGGGGTATTTTCTTGACAGTTGAGTGATGTGGGAGGGCTCAGCTCACTGTGAGTGGTGCCACTCCTGGGAAGGTGGGCCTCTAAGAAAGAAGATTGAGCATGGACGAGGGGAGCAAGCCAGTAAGCAGTGTTCCTCCATGGCCTGTGCTTCAGCTCCTGCCTCCAGGTTCCTGCCCTGAGTTCCTACCTTGGGCCCCCTGATGAACTATGACCTGGAAGATGTAAGCCAAATAAACCCTTTCTTCCTCAAGTTGATATTGGTCAGAGTACCTTATAACAGCAATGAAGAAACAAACTAGAACATGTATCAGTTCTTGTTATTATCAGGAACAATGTAGCATGTCCAACTTATGGGAAGACTGACAGTTTGGGGGCTCCCTTCATGAGTGCTAGCACCATTTACCTGTCAGCATTACCTCCTATTATTTTTTGCACCCCACTTCTTTTCTTTCTTCTCCAGCCCTTTATAGTTAATTTTGTGTCTTATTTGCTCTTTGATAGAAATATCTTGAAATTCAAGTCTCAGAACTACAAATACAAAATTTTATATAAAAATGAATGAGAGTAGAAAACATACGTAAGTATTAGAGACTTAAGAGAGTTAGGTCATTTCATTTGGAAGCATTTTAATTTATCAGAAATGTTTCTTAAATTCCCTAGGCTTCTCCTACATACTTAGAACACTGCAAATCCTAGCAACTCCCAGAACTCCCAATGAGGACTCTGCAAGTGAGGACTTACTTTATTTATTTCACAGTCAATCTGTTTTGGGGGTAAACACAGATGCTCACCCCACCACAGCTCTTCCACAGCTTTGGAGATACCGATTAGTGCAGTAAGACAAAAAATTTAAAGCAGAGATCTCTGAAAGGGAGAAAGAAGAAACAAACTGTCAGTATTAGCAAGGGATGCAATTGTTCACATTAAAGCTCTCAAATAATCTACAGATTTTTTTCAGAATTAATATGAGAGTATTTAGCAGCTTGCTATTTCAAAACAACAGATAAGATTATGTTGATATAAGAAACATAGCTCTTTCCTCAAAGGGGATAAGAGATAGTTTGTTCTGGAGCCAAATATGAGTGCCAGGCCTTGGGAACACAGATTTAGGTTACCCCAGATTCCATGTTCCAAGGAGGCGGTAGTTTCATGAGGTGCAAATAGTAACAAAATAAAGTCATAAATCAAGACAGTTTCAAATACATTGGTGGGAACATCAGGTAGGTAAGTTACAGCAAATCAGGGAGATCTCAGCTCTAGGCCTCATAGGCCATCTGGAGACATTCTTAGCCCTTGAGCTGATGGGCCCTAGGGTCCCTAAGCACATTTCAAAGGATTTACCTAATAGGATTTACCTAATAGTCATAGGATGTTAGGCCACATATAGAGGTGGGAGATGAATGGCTATTAAGGGGGCTAAAGGTAGCTCAAGATAATCTGGTTCTGGACCCATAACATTCCAAACTCTCCAACATCACAGAAATTCTAATTCAGTTAGGCAACCTTGTAGAAGGGTCAATGTAAGCTATAGCTTCTTTTGTTCATAACTGCATTTCTATATCCTAGAAATGATTAGGAAAAATATAAAGGATATCATTTTCCTCTGGGTGTGGTAACACAACTCTAACTCTAGCACTGGGGATACTGAGGCAGGACGATTCTGAGTTCCAGGTCATCCTGGGCTATATAGACAGACCCCTTTTCAAAGAAAACAAACAAAAACCTCTCCTCCCACCTTCCCAAACCCAAAGCACTGCAATGCAAAAGTAAAGCCAAAGAAACAAAAGCGTCAAACCAACCAAAACAAAACTCAACAGAATTTAGGATAACATTTTACAAATAAGTAATGTAACATTTTAGAAATGTGTAAATTGTTACTGAAATTCACTGGAAAGAAATAACAGGGCGACAGAGTGTCTTAAATATGTTGTTGCATCACTGAAAACCGGCTCTTTCTCCATCTGTTGTTATAGGGAATCCAACTTGCAGACAGATGCCTAAAGTGGTAGCATGGAGGACTGGAAGAAGCTTTGGTGCTAACTGAAAATCAGAGTCATTGTAAACAGGATGCAGGTAATGTTTAAGAGCTACTCCACGTTCTGATACGTTTTCAGATGAGCGAGTTTGCTCCACATCAGTCTTTCATTTTCATTCTTGATTCAGTGAAATTGCTCTTGTATTTTGAAGCATTCTGTTAGCTGCCCTGTCTATTCACATTGCTGCAATGCTATGTCTAACATAATAGCACAATTGTGCATGCTTTCAGAAAACATATTTTCACCACTCTAGTGAACTAGAACACTTTAAAAAATATTTTATTTATTATTTTTATTTTATGTGTATGAGTGCACTTCCTGCATGTATGTGAGTGCACCCTTGTGCAATGCCGTGGAGGTCAGAAGAGGGCTTCGGATTCCCCTGGAACTGGAGTTAAGGATGGTTCGTAGCTGCCATGTGGGTGCTGGGAATCAAACCCGGGTCCTCTGCAAGAGCAGTCAGTGCTCTTAACCACTGAGCCACCTCTCCAGCCCCAAACTAGAACACTTGCTAGGAAAACCTGGGAGCCACAGCCGTGCTTCCTTTGGCATCTTCCTGTTGTGTGTTGCTAAAGCGACCCCCAGTGTACAGATGGTGTGTGTGTGTGTGTGTGTGTAAAGTAACTGCTGGTGTTTCTGAGAAGTACAAGTTCATGTTTTCAACAGAAGAGAGAAAGAAGCTTCGACTGACACGTAAAGAGAGAATGCGCTGAAGATGGACAGAATGATGGTTATTGTTCTTGTAACAAATTACCACAAATGCATGACTTAAAAAGACACAAATTTATTATCGTCTGTAGGTTGGGCTCTACCACATATCTTATTGGATAAAAAAATTGAGTGTCAACAGTGCTCTGTTCCTTTCTGGAGACTTGCAAGGAGATTGTTTTGGTGCCTTTTCCAGCTTCTTGAACTGCCTGTTGGTTTTCCTCATCATCAAAACTAGCACTAGCAGGATGAGTCTGTCTCACTTTGCATCGCTTCAGCCTCTTCTGCCTCCCTCTTCAACAGTTAAGGGCTCTCGAGATCTCACTGGGCTCATCTGGATAATCCAGGATAATCCCCACCTTGAGGTCCTTAACTTAATCACAGTTGCAAAGTTCCCTTGGCCAGTAAGGTACCACATTCAGATAGCAAGTGTTAGGACACAGGTACTTTGGGGGTTGCTAGGAAGGGAAGTAAACTCTTTACTGCCTGCTTCCTCTGTTCTACTCTGGCCACGTTGCTCACTGTAGCCTCAGTGCTCAATTGCTCTTTCCTTGGTGTGGAATGACTTACTCTCTTACTTGGTTCATAGCTCTGCTCAGAAGGCCTACCATGAACCTGTATTTAAATCTATCCATGCTCTCTGTCTTCCAACTGTCCCTCATTAAAAAATATTTGTTTTTTAATTGAATTTTCGTTATTTTCATACAATATAATTTGATGGGATTTACATCCCCTCCCCTAGTCACACCTCCTCTTATTACCCTCCTGTCCCCAATTTAATACTCTAATTATATATATATATATATATATATATATATAAGTTCTATAGAATCTAATTTGTGTCTCTGAATGGCCTTCAGTGTGTGTTCATCCACTGGAGCGTGGTTAACCTACCAAGAGTCACATTCTGGAAAAGGACTGTCTCTGCTCTTTCCAGCAGCCATCACTGTCATAGTTTCCTTAGGTGGGTTGGAGCATCTTACCCACTTCTTTATGTCCATGGCTGGGATTTTTTTCTGATTTGAGCTTGCCTGGCCTTGCGCATGCTGCCACCATTCCTGTGTGTTCATATGAATAACTACCAGCTGCCTGGAAGACTGTTTCCTGACGGTCATCCACCCTCTCTGGCTCTTATAGTCTTTTTCGCCTCCTCATCTGTGATGATCTCTGAACCTTGAGAAACAGAAATTCTTGATAGAACTTCTCCTTCTTTGGGTCTCCTGCCTTAAGTTAGAGACTGAGTCAGCTTTGCTCCCATGTGTCACCCAGGGTCTAGCCAAGGGCCCGACACCTAGCATCTCAATGAAATGCATGGACGAATCAGTTTAATTTTTCCCTTTAACATGCTGTGTTCTTCAGTAAGTAGGACCACAGAAAAATATTCTGTAAAGATGCAGATACCATTCAGTTAGTGAAGCTCTTTAAAAGCAGGTGTATCAAAGCCCTGTATATAATGCCACTGAATTTTGCTTTCTTAAAACCTGGGCATACATTTATGCTATAACCAGTAATGTGTCAGAGTCAGCTCCAAATATGAGAGAAATAGTCTTTTCTTCTCTTACAGTTTTAATACTGGTCTTGTTGTACCAGTAGACATGAGATAAGCTCATAAAAAATGCTTATAGTAGGAAATATCACTTTGATTGTGGGACATTGAAGTTCATCTGTCCCAAGGCAGAGTCTCATCCTGTCTGGATTTGTAGTATCTGTCTACTTATACAAGCCAAAGCTCGCTAGAAGAGAAGTTTTATATGGAAATTAAAAAATATTTTATTATTTTATTTAATATGTATGAGTGTTTTGCTTACGTTTGGTAAATATATCTGTGTTGTGCAAAGCTCACAGAGGTTGGAAGAAGGTTGGAACTGGAGTTATGGACAGTTGTTAGCCACCATTTGGGTGCTGGGAATAGAACACAGGTCCTCTATATGAACATCAAATATTCTTAACCATTGAGCCATCTCTCCAGCCTCTTTATATGGATTTTTTTATTAAAGTCTAAAATTTCCATTTTAATTTGTAATTTTTCTAAATTAAAAAATTATGTATTTGTATTTTATGTGTATAAGTATTTTGCCAACATGTATATAAGTGCTCCATATGCGTACAATGCCCACAGAGGTCAAAAAAGGGCATTGGATTCCCTGGAATTAAGAGTTATGTATGGTTGTTAGCTCCCATGTGAGTGCTGGGAATGGACCCTGGGTCCTTGCAAGAACAGCAAAGGCTCTTAACTGCTAAGCCATTTCTCTAGTCCCATTGCAAAGTAATTTTAACTATTTTGTTATTATTTTTTATGTGTATATGTGTATTGCCTGCATGTATGTAAGTGCACCCATGTTGTACAGTACCTGTAGAGATCAGAAGAGGGTACCGGATTCCCTTGGAACTGGAGTTACAGATGGTTGTTAGCCCCCATGTGGGTATTGAGAATTGAACCTGGGTCCTCTGCAAGAGCAGCCAGCACTCTTAAATCACTGAGCCATCCCTCCAGCCCCATAAACTAATTACTAAATATTGTACTATGTGCTTCTGTGTCCCTTCTAAGAGAAATGATTAGTTTCGGTCAATAAAAGTATTTTTAATAAAAAAGGAAAAAAAAGTAGATTATATAACTCAAGTAGCCAAATTTAAGTTGACATTCCTTAGTGGTGGACTCACATACATTACTAAGTATCTTTTATAAATAGCCTTACTATTTGAAATTTGGGGCAAAGAGGCCAATAATAATAATGACAAAAATATGGGGCTGGCGAGATGGCTCAGCAGTTGAGAACACTAGTTGTTCTTGCAGAAGACCCAGGTTCAGTTCTTAGCATCCACATGGCAGCTGACAACTGTCCATAACTCCAGTTCCAGGGGATTCAATGCCCTCTTCTGTTCTATGTGGGCGTTGCATGACATGAGTGTACTTACATAATGCAGGCAATACACACAAACACATAAGAGAAAAATAAATAATGACAAAAATAAGTGGCATCATTTTTGCTGCCCTTTATGGAATACTTACTTGTGCCAGTTGCTAAATCCTTTACATGTCTTGTTCTGTGTAATCTTCTCCCCACATGAAGCCGTGGAGCATTTACTGTATTGTCTACTCAGCAAGAGTATTCCCCTTACCCAGTGATTGTTTTAAGAAACTCTTCCTCTCCTCTTCCACCAGTTCTGGGGATGTAGACTATAGTACCTTGGAATCTTGGCTCTCAGGATGGATGTGTGACCTAGACATAGGTGAGCAGATGTATATCAGAGCAGTTGTTATTTATAAGCCAGACATCACACAGTGAAGCAGTAGCTATACATGAGAGGATTTGGTACTCAGTCACACTGACTTCACCCGTATTTCTATCACTCTGCTGTACTATGTCCTAGCATCCCTGTTTCATGATCAGCTATGCACTAACACTCTCCCCATTGAGACTGATTCTTGAAAATATAACAGTGACTTACATGTGACTTAGACAGTTGTTGCTCATCTAGTCACTTGTCTTTTGATTAACGTTTTTATCTTCAGTGCTAGGGATGGAAAAGCAGATAGGCTTCATCTTTTGTGGTTATTCTAGCGGAATGTAAGTGATTATTTGAAACTTGGCGTTGAGAAGGTATATTAGTTATTTTTTCATATTGCTATGAACAAACACTTGATAATAAACAACTTAAGAAGGGTTTATTTTGGTTTATAGTTGGGGGGATGCAGTCTATCATGACAGGACAGGCAAGACGGCGAGGTGTGAGGCAGCTGGTCAAATTCTCTCTGCAGTCAGGAAGTAGAGGCAGGACAGGAAGTAGAGCTGGGCTTAGTTGATCCATTTCTTCCAGTGAGGCTCCACCACAACCGGCACCAGCAACTGGGGTCCAAGTGTTCAAACACATGAGCCTATGAGGGCCATTTCACGTTCAAACAGCACAGAAGCCTCTATCGTGGCTATCAGGAAAGTAAAGCAAGGGAATGGGTTGTTAAGTTCAGTTGAAATGTTTGAGCATTTGTAATGAATTTTGGAAATATGGAGTTGCACATTTTTGCATCCAGGGTGTGTTGAACCAAGGACTTCAAACTGTTGTTCAGTTCGAAGAATATTTCAGTTGTTAGCTCATCTGTGTACCAAATGAAATTCTTAAAAATCTGTTCACTATAGGGCAGTGACGTCTTTTAACAAACACCTCCCTCTACAAAGTGCCTAGACAGTTCTACCCCATAACGATAGGAACAGCAACATGACCTGAATTTAGATTCTGGAATTGAATCATTTATGGGGACCACTCTTCTGGCAAGAAGGATGCTAAATCACTGCCACCCTGAAAAATTGTCATGCGCTGGCATTGTTGAAC